CGCACGCACGTCACAAGCGCGTATTACGACCCACCGAAATTTCCACTCTACCAGCATTGACGTGTATTTCGTTTGCTGGGAGGGAAAGAGCGAACTCGTTGCACGACTCTGCGGACTCTCTTGAACCAGATGAATCCGTTGAGGTGCTGGATCCAACGACCCACCGAAGACGCTTCTCGCAGAACAATCGCGAAGGGCATCGTGAACCAAATCCCAACTCAAACCTCGCATCCCATCGCACATCGAACTTCAAGACGAGCCGCGAACTGACGCGCGCACCGAACTGCGAACTGGATGTCGAACCGAACCGCGAACAAAATGGGAACCGAAATGCGAGCAAAGAAGCCCCGACGCGAGCCGCTAATCGCATCGCGAATCGAACGACGAATCTAAAAACGGGCCCACCTGCGAAACGAGACGAGAAAACCGAACTCTGGCAGTACTCTCGCACCGAGGCGCGAACCGGACCCCGAGCCGAATCGCGAAACGGATCGCGAACTGAATCGCGGACTGACCCGCCAACACGCCACCGAGTCGGACCACAAAACTGAAAACAAACCCGCGAATCGATCCGCGAATCCGATCGCAGACGAACGCGATTCGAGAACCAAACCAACGCGAGCGGATCAGCGGACCGATACGAACCAATGATCAGACCACGAACTGCGACCTGGACCGAACCGCGAATCGATTCACACGCCGAATCGCAAACAAAAAGACGAATCGATTTGCGAAACAAGACATTACATGACAAGTGAAGCGAACCATGGACTGCACCCCGAACAGAGGCCCGAATCGAACCCCAACCAGAAAGCGAACCGAACCACTAACCAAACTTCGAAATCTATCGCGACCCCCCAACGTGTCGAAACTTTCCGTGAGCACACATTCGAAACGAATAGCCAACCAGACCGCGAATCGAATCGCGACCCGAACTGCTCGCAGACCCACCATCCAAACCCCGAAACAAACCACTGGCCGACACGCGAACAGAATCGCGAACGGACCGCGAACCGAAAAGAGGGCAACATTGCCAATCAAATTGCGAACTGAGATTTGCCCCAAACCGCGAACCGAGCACCGAATCGACCCACGGGCCCAAGTCCAGACAACAACGCGAACCGAACCGCGACTCAAACCCCAACAGAAATCCCGAAACGACCCACTGACCGCGCCTGACCGTGCGCGAATCCCGAGCCGACCCACCAATCGAGCCGCGAAACGATCTGCGAACAAACGCGCTAGCCGAACCACGAATTGATCACTGAAACCGAGCCGCAAATCGAGCGGTCAACTAATCCGCAAATCTGACCGCCAACCGACCCCGAAACTTACCAAACGCCTTAAAGAAAAAGAGTCACACGTCGAGCGGCATTACGTTCCGCGAACCAACCCGCGAACTGAACACGAAACCGATCACACCCGACCGCGAACCACTTTCGTTCGGCGCTGGCTTAGCGACAAGTTTAGCTGCCTCGCGGAAAGCACACATCATCTACATAACGAAGCAGGGAAGCACCCGAGACAAGGACGTACAGCCCCAGCACTGCAGGCACATCGCGCCCAGGACTTTTCCGCCGCCAGCCGCCACCCTGCGACGAGGACGAGGACGAGAACGAGGACGACGACGACGAGGAGGAGGAGGACGACAACGACGACGACGACGACGACGAGGACGAAGATGACGACGACGCCGACGAGGACGACGAGGACGAAGACGACGACGACGACGACGACGACGACGACGACGCCGACGACGACGACGACGACGACGACTGCAGGCACCCCGCTGCAAGACAGAAGGCCAGGAGAAGGGAGGGCCGCGGCCAGGACCAGGATGTGCGGGAGGAAGAGGCGGGGCGGGGGAGAGGGGAGGAGTGACAAGGGGGGGGGGGGGCGAGGACGAGGACGAGGACAGCGACGAGGCCGAGGGGCACGGACGAGGACGAAGACGGGGCGAGGACGAGGGGCGAAGACGAGAGACATGGCCAGGACCAAGACGGGCAGGACCTCTGGGCGCCCTCCCGGCTCCAAACCGACGGGCTCGCGCCCGCCCCGCTCCGTCATCTTTCTGGTCATGACCGATACCATCTTCTTCTTCATCCTCATCATCATCAGCATCATAGTCATCATCAGCAACATCACCACCACCATCATCATCATCATCATCATCATCCTCATCATCATCATCATCATCATCACCATCGTCGCCATGATCATCATCAACATCATCAACAACATGATGATCGTCATCATCAGCATCACCATCGTCATCATCAGCATCATCATCATCACCATCGTCATCACCATCATCATACGCATCGCATAATCATCAACATGATCATCATCAGCAGCATCATCATCATAACCATCAGCAGCATCAGCAACAGCATGATGATCATCCTCATCACCATCAGCATCATCATCAGCATTACCACCACCAGCACCATCATCAGTATCACCACCATCATCATCACCATCAACATCAATATCATCAACATCATCATCACCATCACAATCATCGACATCATCATCATCATCATCATCATCATCATCATCAGCAGCACCATCATCGTCAGCATCATCATCACCGTCACGATCACCAGCAGCAGCATCAACATCATCATCATCAGCATCATCAGCATCAGCAGCATCATCAGCAGCGTCATGAGCATCATCGTCAGCATGGTCAGCATCATCATCATCATCATCAGCAGCATCATCATCAGCAGCAGCATCGGCAGCAGCAGCAGCATCGACAAGAGGGGCGGGGCGCGAGTCCTCCAGGGCCAGCGAAGAGGGCAGGAAGAGCGGGCCGCTGGAAGCGCTGTTTCGGCTGAGCTCGCGATGCGGCCGTGCGCGGCCATCAGATCCCCGTCGTGTCGTCGCCCTCCTCCTCCTCCTCCTCCTCCTCCACCTCCTCCTCCTCGTCCTCCTCCTCCCCCTCTTCGTGATCTTGCTCGTCCTCGCCCTCGCTTTCGCCCTCATCCAGCTCTCGTCCTCATTCTCGCCATCGTTTTCTTCCTCGCTGCGGCCGTCGCCATCATCATTCGGGACAGGCGTCTGTACTCCAAATTACGATGCACTAGTTAGTGGTCGCCTCCATCTTCAAGTTGGGGGAGTCGATGTTCGAGAATGGGGGGGGGGCAATGCTCAAGGCTCGTGGGTGAATGCGCAAGAAATGCGTAATCGAGACTGGGTAGTCAATACCTCTGGCTGAGATGCGCAATCCATGAAAAAAAAAATAAAATAATAATAATAATAATAATAATAATAATATGTAAGATCCACAAGACATCTTTTGACGCGGACGACCGATGGACATCGATACGCAGGTCTCGTCGTGGTTCTGCAACATTTCCTTGCCGGCGCGCACCCCGCCGAAACAGCGGCGATGGACTGCGAATTTCCGCGCCACACGCCGATGCCACCACACATTCGCTCCCGCGGCTCCTGCGTGAAACCCGGATGCCGCCACACACTCACACTGGCATGACACATCCACCGTCAGGGTCTGGACGTTCACACGGGGGAGGGAGGAGGAGGAGGAGGAGGAGGAGAGCAAGGAGAGGAAGGCGGAGCGGGCAGCGTGGTTGCCAGAATTTCTGCCGCACATGCCGGAGGCCTGATTAGTGCAACGTCCCAGAAATGAAAAGGCACCAGCAAGACAGAGGAGGCGAGGAGGAGGAGGAGAAGCAGAGAGGCGAAGGGGGAACAACACCCTCCTGGACCAGCGCTCCAGCCAACCTGTCACAGGCGAGCCTTTGCGCGCACCCCGCAGACTGACAAATGCGCAGAGTTGTATGTCGGAGTCCAAGCTCCGTGAATAACCGCGCAAACTTAAACGACTGGCAAGTGCGAGCACACTGACGGAATGAACCCAGCCACGCATGGTGGAGAAATCGCGAGGCGTCAGCCGCCGTCGCGCCAGTGCCGAAACAAGTGGGCACATACGGACAAATATGTCAACAACAAGGACGGGAGGAAGAGCAGGAGGAGGAACAAAGAGAGTAATGACTACCTCGCCCATTCGCGGAGGAACCCAATTGTACGCTTCCGAGAACTCGGAGGGGGAAAACTGATGATGCCTGATGCCACTATGGAGCCTACAGAGGGCGTAGAGAGAGAGTGCGCGCTGCACGAGGGGGGAGTCTCCTCCCAACGCTCCCGAGACGCTGCCCGGAGGCATGCACAAAAAGTAATCCAGGGCCCACTCCAGAGCCGGAGTTGGCTCATCGAACTGTGAGGCAGTCGGCCTCCGAATTGTCGGGCCGCGTGCAAAGTGTGTTAGGCTGTCGTTGCCGACGCCACAGGCGAATGAGCAGGGGCCGCGATTTTGAGATCGACGGCGCGTGCTCCACACGTCGCAGAGTGTGCGCGAACTAGCGGCTTGGATTCGGGGGGCGGCGCTGCGCCCCAGAACCCGGAAAGTGACCAGTGCGCGCTCCACGCGGCGGCCTGGGAATGTCCGTCGCGGCCGCCCGTCGAACCGAGTGAGCGTGGGCAGCGCTGGGCGGAGTCTCCCTGTAGAGATTGGTCGCCCTGCCCTGCCAGCCGCATTGAACGCTCAAGTCTAAGTCTAGGCCGCCCACTTCAAGGAGAAGAGCAACTCGACGCTGCAAATCGTTGTCGGCGTCGGACAGCTTGAACAAGAAACAGTTTCGCACCCATGAGCCTCTGCAGCCAGCATGTTCTAAGGAGCAGGCAGGACTGGGAAGGAGATCCCGCAATCTCGATGCGCGCTGCTGCACTCGGAGGCCGCCGTGGGCGGCATTTTCGAATCGCACCGCGCGGGCCTTCGCAGCTGCAGCGATGGCGCCTACATCCGGCAGCTCGCTCGGAAAACTGAGGGATCACAAATCCCGCAGACAGTATGAAACCATCCAGGACGCCGGGCCTGGCAACAACAGTTGACATGCTCTCTGCTCGTGGACGCAGAAATCAGAAGGTAGGTCCTCCAGCTGGGCAACAAACTGGAGCACTGAGCTGACATACGCTCGCTACGCTGGCAGGGATAAGAAAAACAGGCCGAGGCGCCCCCAAACTCTGGCCCGCGCCATGTGTTTGCGCAGCGAGGCTCCCCGGGAGCGGGAGGCCGCCCCCGGGCCACGCATAAAACCAAAGGTGCTTCCCAGCCCCCGCAGTTCGGACGGATCCCCAATCAGAAGCCCGGCGCGCCGCCCCGTCCCTCACCTCCTGCTCCTGAAATCGGAGCAACGGCACAATGACCGTCTCCCGCGCGTTGAGCTGGAGCCCAGACACCGAAGCGAACTCCAGGAATAACGACCGGAGGAGGAGGAGGAGGAGGAGGAGGAGGAGGAGGAGGAGGAGGACGGAGGAGGAGGAGGAGGAGGAGGAGGAGGAGGAGACCGCGGAGGTGATCAAAACCCTCCCCAACGGTCATGGCCAAGTCGTCGGCCCACGCACGCGCGCACGCGGACGGGGGCACCCTCCGCAGCCTGCGCAGCACGAGGCCCGTGGCATGGCGAACAGAAGAGAAGAGAGTGGGCATCCTTTGAAGGGGCCCCAGGACACACAAATAAATACACACAAATGAAAATATTCCCCATATTTTCCCATATTTTCTGGGTTTCTGTCTTCCCCCCCACTTCCCATATTTTCCCATATTTTCTGGGGAATCGAGGATTAATTGTGTCTGTGTGTTTCTTTTCCTCCTGATCCTTGACGGATGCCCCGCGTCAGTTGGAAGCCTCGGTAGCGGGCTCCACCCAAGCTGAATGTGCAGACAGTGTCCTGATACAAAATGCCGATGGCTCGGAGGAGCCAGGGGGGCCAGCCCAGCGAAGCCAAAAACTGATGGAACAACTTATGTTCGATTGAAGGGAAAGCGGCAGCAAAATCATAAAAAGAGCCAGGACCGCCCTCCCCTCCTGCGGCTACTTGTTGTATCGCCTCGTCTACGTCGAGAAGGTTCGCGATCATCGAAAGTCCTGGCAGGAAACCGCGCTGGTCAGAAATTATGAGCGGTTCGATCGCGGGCCCCAGTACGAGGCGAACCGCACCAGCGAAGAGGCGGTTGTCATAGCTCGTCGCATGAAGCGGCCGGACGCAACTCGCAGGAAAGGCTGCTGCCTCCCCTCCCGTGGGACGCTCGAGAACCTTGGGGAGGACAAGCAGCATACTCTTGTTGAAGTCGGCGTACCGGTGCCGGACTCGTTACTCCCCTGCCTCGGGCACCATCTCCCGTCGAGGGCGCGCAATCATGGATTGGCGATCCGCGGATTTGGCGCGCGGTGGCCAAATCCATGGATCCGGGGAGGTGCCCTCCCGAAAACGCGGCCGGTGCCGCCTCTATATAGCGGCGGAGGTCCGCGACTTCCCCATGGAAGCGTGGCCCGTCGCCAATCCACGCCCCCTGGATCCATGCCTGCGATCGCCTGATCCTGGTGCCAGACCCGTTCCTCCCCTGCCTCGGGCGCCGCCTAGCGTCTCCTGGAACGCCCCCCGTGCAGCCCGCTCACTGTTCTACTAAAACAGGGCCAGGATCGGGATGAATCGCTCCAGAGCGTTCCGGGGCGCTCTCAGAGCGTTCCGGAACGCTCTGGAGCGGCCGCGGCGCCCAACACATCCTCCAAACCCGCCGATTCTCAGAGATTTCGAGTTCTCCCGATCCGACTTTGTCCCGATCTTCGCGTCGTTTTTGAAAGTCCCCCGGATGCCCTCCAGGCCCCGTGCAGGGCAGCCCGGCCGGCCCTCGGCAGGAGGTCGCTCGAGCTCTGGAGGGCTCTCCGAAGATGCTCGGAGGGGCACCCGGGACACACGAGCAAACAAAAACACAGGCAGCAGGAGCTCCCATGCTTTCCCATGTATTTCCTAGGTCTCGTCTTCCCCCCCCCCACTTCCCACATTTTCCCACATCCTCGGGGGAATCGACGATGGATTGTGTGTGTCTGTGTGTTTTTTCCCCTCCTGAATGTTGGCGTCTGAGCTGGAGCTCGTGCACCGCCCCATGCGGAGAGCCCTGGAGTTCCTGGTCGGCGGCGTCCTCGGCCACCCACTCCTCGAGGCGAGCCTGCCGAAGGCCGCGTTCCCCGAAGGGTCTCTCCCCAGTGCTGCCGCAACACGCTCGCCACATCGGCCGCCCCTGTCACGACGCTGCCGCGCTCGTCGATGATGGCCCCAACTCCAGAACTGCGGCCAGGCGCCAGCTTGTACAGCAATCGCGTGCCTCGCTGCCTCTTCCGCCGTATCTGGAGGGCGTCGCCTTCCCCAGCGTCGCCCTGAGCCTCCCGCAGCAGACGGGGCGCGGCCTCCTGGGCGAGTTCCACAGCGTGCTCGCGGAGAGCACGCGGGGAAGTCGTCGAGTTGCCATGCAGGTCGTAGGGGTCCGCCGCCAAAGAGGACATGAGAGGGCGCCGCAGCAAGCACTGCGAGGTGTCCGCGAGAGACCCCTGCTCCGACGCCCGGATGCACCGCATGACCACCCCGAGCCCGTCCTCCGCCTGGTCGGCCAACGGGAGGCCCGCAGCGGGGGCGTCC